ACCCACCTCCCACAATGGAGGTCGTCGGGAGGAGCCCCCACCTTCTGGGTCCTCACTCTGGGTGCCCCCGCCTCTCTGATGCTCCTCCCCTTCCTGCCCCCCAACATCCACTGCCACATGCTGAGCGGGGCTTCCAGGCTCTGTCCTGCCGTCTCTCTTCTCTGCCCTCACCTCCTCTGGAGGCCAGCACGCCCATTTTCTTGACATGAGAACCGTTTTAAAGCTCATGACTCCTGAGCTTCGAGGTCCCACCCACACTTCTTGGGTTTTAGAAAGGCTCCTCCAGCTGCCTGTGAGGACCTTCCTCCATGTCTCATGGCATCTGGACCCAGCTGTTCTGTGCCAGTCGGGACCAGTCGGGACCATGTACAGGGGAAAAGAACCCCAAACTGGCTGGAGCAGTGAACTGGGTCGACTGGCATCCCCCCCAAATTCATGTCCACCCAGAACCTCAGAATGTGACCTTATTTGGACATTGGGTCTTTGCAGACATAATCAAGTTTAGACGAGGTCATCCTGGATGAGGGTGGCCCCTAATGCAATGACTGATGTCTTTATAAAAAAGGAGACCGGGGCTGGCCCGGTGGCGTAGTGGTTAAGTTCACAAGCTCCGCTTCAGCGGCCGGGGTTTCGCGGGTTTGGATCAAGGGCACAGACCTACACACCGCTTGTCAAGCCATGCTGTGGCAGGTGTCCCACATATAAAGTAGAGGAAGATGGGCACAGATGTTAGCCCAGGGCCAATCTTCCTTAGCAAAAAGAGGAGGATTAGCAGCAGATGTTAGCTCTGGGCTAATCTTCCTCACCGAGAAAAAAAAAGGAGACAGCAGCACAGGCTCAGAGGGAAGACGGCCATGTGATGACAGAGGCAGAGATGGAGGAGGCGGCCACGAGCCAAGGGTGTCTGGAGTCCCCAGGAGCTGGAGGAGCAGGAAGGAGCCTCCCCTGGAGCCTTCAGAGGGAGCACAGCCCTGAGACACCTGGATTTCAGACTTCCGGCCTCCAGAGCTGGGAAAGGATAAATTTCTGGTGTTTAAGCCCCCAGTTTGTGGTCCTTCATTACGGCAGCCCCAGGAGACTCATAGAAGCAGTGTTCAGAAAAATTCACCAATACTCAGAAATGGGGCAAATGGATGACATTGTGCCCCTCCATCGTCATCCTCCAGGTCATTGTCTAAACAGCCTGCCTGAGCATCGTTTGACACTCCCAGGAGGTCACTTTATTTGACTTACATTTATTAGTGACAGGGCCCAGGGCCATAAGGCTAGACGTTAACTTGTAGAAAACAGGAAAGCTGCAAGTGATTGTTCTCTTGTAAAAGTGCAAATGATTTCTGTCTGGCAGAAAAGGTAATCCCAAAGGTTGTGGTTTTATTGAACCGTAAGATATTAACCAGTTCTGTGTCCCACTTAGCAATCTTATCCCAGCGTTCTTTGTTTTCCTAGGGATTCGGGCACTCTTCTTTGAGTCAGCTTTGTCATGTGGCCAAGTTCCCTCATTAATGGGTTAGGTAGAACTCTGACACAGTATCTATTTACTCAGTATCTATTTGTCTGAGAACTCTGTTCTCAGAACATAGTTATACTTTGTTCTGAGAAATAGAAAGTTATACTTTGACAGCAGAATTTATTATAGTGGAAAGATAGCCGGATCTAGTTTCAGGCAAGGATTGGTCCAGGGGCCAGATGATGTTATTGGGCTTCGGGTGAATTCTCCTCGCTTCTTGGATCGCTGGCTTCCCTCTCAGGTGGGCTCTCTCCTCCTGGTGGCACGATGACTGTCCGCCACCCTGCCCCGCCTCCTCCCAGCTGCCGTCCAGCGGGAGGTTCTGCCGGCTCCATCCTGGTACTCAAGCAGAAGCCTGGGGATTGTTCCTCAGACCTGACAGGCCAGGCCCGGCTGGCCAGATGCCCAGCCTTGAGCAATCCCTATGGCCAGGGGGACGCAATGCTCTTACTGGCTGGCTCAGGTCACAGAACTTGACACCAGAGGGTTTGGAGTTACACAGACCTGGTTCCACACTCAGCCCCTGCACTCCTCAGGGCGGTGGATGGCATCTCCCAACCACGGCCACGGGAACATCGCCCTGCCCACAAGCTCTTTGTGTAATTTGCCTTCCTGCCATCCAGAGCGGGCGTCTCTGCCCTTGAGTCTGGGGGTGGGTAACCACAGGCAATGCTCTGTGACTTCTGAGCTAGATCACAAAAGCAATGCAGCTTCCGCCTGCTTCTCCTGGGATCCTGCACGTAGGACTCGGCCACCATGCCATGAGGGAGCCCAAGCAGCCACGTGCAGGGGAGCCACGGCCCACAGGACCCTGGTCACGCTCCCAGCCATGTGAGCACGCCATCTCAAAGCGGGGTCCTTCAGCCTGAGGCTGAGTGACCATGCGGGGCCGACTCCACCAGGGCCTGCCCACCCGGCAAGTGCACGAGCAAAGCCGATGATTGCCGCTTCCCACCACCGAGTCAGGCTGTCTGTTACTGGCGTAGGTGACGTGTCCTCTGGGTACGTAACCTCAGGCAAGGGCCTCAGCCCCTTTGCGTTTCTCCGTGTTTGAGATGAGGGTTACAACACCTGCCCAGCTGGGCTCATTCTTCAAAATGTATGAACTGAACACCTGCTGTGCGTCAGGCATTGTTCTAGGCCCCAGGATCCCATGCAAAACAGCCCAGCACATAGAGGGGTTCCAAAATCTCTTCCCTTCTCTCCCAGCTAAACATCTCCTGTAAAGCAATAATCCTTTGCCGGGCGCAGACGTGTCAATTAAAGCTGGCTCTCACCTCGAGGTCACCGGGCCTCCGATGGTCCCACTGGGCCGCTAGACCAAGAGGCTGCAGGCAACCTTGTGGGGAGGGCTGGCCTTTTTACTGCTAAGTGGTGAGATCTAGTCAAGTGGAAAAGGGCTATTTGCTGGGTAATAAAAGCTTCTATTGTTCACAGCCCTGGAAACATATTAATGAACAACCTAGTGCGCAGCCCCTGGTTCCAGCACTGTAAAATGGTTGTTTATATGACAAGAACAAGGTGCGATTTTCCTTTTGTGGTTTTAAGTGGGCCCAGAACCCCAGACTGATCAAGCCACTGACAACTGGAATGGGCTCTCCCTGCGGAGCCCCGCTGTACGGCCCACCAACATCTGGTGCCAACTCTATGCTGGCCCTGGACACACAGAGTGGAACCCTACCTCAGGCACAGAGATCCAGGGGCGTGCACTGCGGAGGGGCGGGCCTGCTGGGGAGCCGGGGAGCGGGGGGGCCTGGATGCCTTCTTGGGGGGGCATCCAAGCCAGGCCTTGAAGAGAGGGCAGGCCCTGGGGTGGGGGGTGGTGGGACTGGTTGGCCAGGATTTCTGGGGAGGCCCCTCAGTTGCTGGAATCCGCTTCTCCTCCTGATGTTAGAAGGAGCTGGTCCCGTCAGGGCCCTGGGGGTGAGAAAGCTTGTTCAGAGGGGCCGGCTGGGGTAGCTCTGTGCTGCTGAGGACCCTGGGTGTTATCTCCAGGGCCTGGCACACAGCTGGTGCTCAGGAATTGTGAACCGGGCAGGATGGATATGCGGGTGGAGGTGGAGCTCACGGCAGAATCAGATGACACGTGGGGAGGGCAGTGCCCGCCTCCCCCATCACCCAGGGGAAAACCGGAGGCCCAGAGTTGGGGGGCTGCCCGGGCACAGGGCTGGGAAGAGGCTCTGCGGGGAGAGCTGGCGCCTCCGCTGAGCCCTTCACTGTTGTTATTGTTGCCATAACAACAACAATAAACGACTGCCAGGGGCTTAACTGCTTATGCACTTTTAGTCTGTTAGGGGTTGAATTGTGTCCCCCAGAATTCATGTGTTGAAGTCCTACCTCCCAATACCTTAGAATGTGACCTTTTTGGAAACAGGGTCATTGCAGATGTAACCTGTTAAGATGAGGTCCTTAGGGTGGCTCTAACCCAATATGACTGTGTCCTTATAAGAGGGGACATGTGGACACGGACACACAGGGAGGAGGCCATGTGAAGACAGAGGCAGGGATCGGGGCGATGCGTCTACACACCCAGGAGCACCAAGGACTGATGGCAGACCCCCAGCAGTGAGGGGAGAGCCTGGGGCAGACTCCCCTCAGAACTTCCAGGAGGAACCAGCCTGCCGACACCTCCGTCTCAGACGGCTGGCCCCCAGCAGTGGGAGAGAGTAAGCTTCTGCTGTTCTAAGTCGCCCGGTGTGTGTACTTGTTTACGCGGCCACAGGAAGCTGCTACAGTCACACAGCGCTTAACGACGGGGACGTGTTCTGAGATATGCATCTTTGGGCGACTTTGTTGTTGTGTGAACATCACAGAGTGTCCTTACACAAACCTACATGGTACAGCCCACTACACACCTAGGCTACATGGTGCTGATCTTATGGGATTGCTGTTGTATATGTGTTCTGTTGTTGACCGAAACGTCGTGACGCGGTGCATGACTGCACTCACTCCTTCTCACCGGCCAAGCCCAGGATCAGGCCCTCGTGCCCACTGCCGGTGGGGAAGAGCCCTCCAGACACACGGAGAGGCAGAGACACTGGACAGCCTGTCAGGACTTGCGAGTCCGCCTGCCCTGGGCTTCTTGTGGATTGAAGCTGTGTGTCCTTGGGCAAGTTACTGAACTTCTCTGAACTTCTGTTTCCTCATAGCTGAGCCTCTGCCCCTGGGTTGTTGAGAGGGTCAGACTGCCCAGACAGGAGAGGCCAGGCAAAGCAACCGGCCCAGGGGCCATCAGGGCCTTTCAGAGCCCGGCGGGGGAGGGGGCGGGGCCTGGGTGACTAGGGGCGGGGCCTGGGCGATGAGCAGGCGGGGCCCAGGCGGTGGGGGGCGGGGGTCATGACCGTGGGGGCGGAGCCTTGAGACGGTGGGGCGGGGCCATGGCTGTGGGGAGGCGGGGCCCAGGCGGCGGGGGCGAGGCCTGTGCGACGAGGCCGGGGCGGGCCGCCTGTCGCTCGACGTGCTCGGCGCTCGCGCGTGTCCTGCTCGGCGCTCGGCCGGCTGCCTTGCGTACTGCGCGCGTCGCGCTCGGAGGGTCTGGGAGGTGCCATCATGTCGACGGCCATGAACTTCGGGTCCAAGAGCTTCCAGCCGCGGCCCCCGGACAAGGGCAGCTTCCCGCTGGATCACTTCGGTGAGCGGCGGGAGGCCGGCGGGCGCTCTGAGGCCCGGATCCCAGCCCGGGGAAGCCGCGCGACGCGGTGGGCCACTGGCCTCCGCGCGGGGTGGTAGGGAAACTGAGGCTGGCTCAGCCCCGCCCAGGGCCTCCCCGCGCGGTCCGGGGGTGGTTGCCGGACAGGCGATGGCCCTCCTGGACCAGGGAGGTGACTCTCGGAAGCTGCCCCGGCGCCGAGCGCGTGGGCCCCTCTGGTCGGGGAACGTAGTGTCACAAGCGCCGTCAGCCGTTGTCGATTCTGCGGTGTTCACGTTGGGGCTCAGATGACTCGTTCTTGGCACCTTGTGGGAAACCGAAAAATGCTGCCGGTCGCGCATTTAGTGGCCGGAGTTCTGGTTTTGGGAGAGCTGTTGAGGTGAGCCTCCGTGAAAGTTAGGGCTTTGAAATTTATAGATTTCATCAATTATTTATAGATTGTTTTTCTTTCCCGACATTTGACCATGAATTTTCCAAACGCTCAGCCAAGGATGGCGCAGTGACCCCCCCCCCCCCCCCCGCCCCGTACGCGCCACCCGGGTTCGCCCCTTTCCTGCACCCAGTCCCCCACGCTGTAGGTTTGTTCTGTCCACTGTGGTATCAGCGTGTTTCTGGAGAAAACAAGGGTAAGGCTGAGGTGTGAACGTGTCGTGTTTCCACCTTAAAGAGAAAATGATGTTTTATTTTTCGTTCTAGGCGAATGTAAAAGCTTTAAAGAGAAATTCATGAAGTGTCTCCGCGACAACAATTTTGAAAACGCTCTGTGCAGAAATGAATCCAAAGAATATCTAGAATGTAGAATGGAGAGGCAAGTACATGCTAACGGTTGCCACTTCTCCCACTTCCCACCTCTCCCACCAAAACATTTTCCACAAGAGGTTGGTGCAGTAGACTCATTCAGGCCTCGCGCGGTTCGACCTCTCTGTTTCAGAACTGGAGACCCACTGGTCCATGAAATTGAGGCTCATCAGATTAAATTGTCTGAAAGTTGTTTAGCAGATACTGGCATTTTTCTTGAGTGATAGCATCACACCCAAGTGCATTGCTCAGAGTATTTTCTCTCCAGATTTGGGTGCTCCTGACCTGTCGTTAAAGTTTCAGAATGATACACATAGAAGTGCTGACTGAGTCAAAAGCATGGAAGGTTGTGGGTTCGCAGTTTCTTTCTTTCATGTTCTCAGACATAAGAATATGCACTCTGTTATTTGTTCCCCCTCAGACTCAGAGCTGTGTGGAATGTGACAGGGAGGACAATGGCTGTTTAAGAAATGATGAGATATGAGTGATTTGTCCTGTCTTAACCAGGATTCACCAGAGCTCTCTTTGAAACAGAACAAAAATGTTTCTAACTACGATCCGTTGAGATTTTACTTAAAATAAGAACTGTTCTAATCCTTAATGGGGTAAAGTGTGTATAATTACATAGTGGGGGTAGGAACTTCTATTTCTGTCTTCAGAGCCCCTCCTTAGCTCACTAAGGAATCCAGTCTTCAGACAGCCTTGTCTCAAGACAGGTTGATATAAACCAATCCACTTTGAGCCTCATTTCCATTTTCCCATAACAAACGCAGATATTTCCCTCAAGGCAAAATCCACTGTGCTTTTCAGGCCCACAGGTGTGTCAAGGGCTGCCTGTGGACATTTGGGACTTTGAGGGTGATGTGCCTTCTTGGCATGTGGCCCTTGTGTGAGGCCCTTGTTCTGCCTTTTGAGCTGTTCGGGCTCACAGGGGCTTAGATTTGACAGAGGGCCACCCTGAATCCTGCTCTTTCCATCTTTAAATAGCACATTGGTGGGACCCACATGTTTAAATGACTGTCTTTTAAACTGATGCATCTTTAAAAAACGAACTAAGAAAGTGTCTTCTTGGTGCCTCCACGGTTTGGAGACGCAGTGAGGTTAGTCTCTGCCCTGTGTGAGCGTGTGAGCAGGTGGCTGCCCTCTGAAGCTCACATTAATCAGCCCTATGCCGACTGCAGTGCCCTGCAGCTCCTGCTTGGGGTTTCTCCAGACGGTTTGGCTGGTTTGGGTCTGCAAGCCTCCAGGCTTGCCTGATGAGGCTTTCAGGCAGGACCAGCAGAAGGGCTCCCTCTTTTTTCCCCGTTTGCCCCTGGGAGTGAGCTGCCCAGGTCTCCACGTGGCAGTGCCTGGCTCGGCACAGCTTCTGTGGACCAGGCTCCCTGAGGCCCGCTGAGGACGGCAGGGAGAGAGGGCCGCCGTTGGCCGCTCTGTGGGTTCCATGATTTCAAATGGCTTCACTGGTTGGTCAGGCGATGTTTAGGTGAATGTACAGGGTGTGATTCTAAGTTGGTCGGTTATTTTGACCATAGACTTTGGTTTGTTTTTAATGAAAATCCTCAAACATACAAAAGTAGAGGATAGTCTGGATAATGTGCTGAAATCCCAAACGTTATTTTACTCCTGCTTATTTCCATATGCATCTTTTTAAAAAAACTGGACCACAATAGTTTTTAAGGTTGCCTCATGAGGACTTGGGGGCCATTTTTGCCTGATGTAAAAGCACATATGCTATTTGAGATGTGGATCACATTTTCTCACAGGAAAAACTGTTGAAATTGAGATTACGTTGTCGGCAAAGACAACAGCAAATACACATGTGATCCGTGATCCTCAGCCTCGGTAATTGTTTTCGGTCCGGTTCCTGCTCATTGCGGGAGCATCAGTGGGCTGTAGGGCTGAATCCTGGTGTGCTTGGGGGCAGGAAGGCCGGGCCCCCTGACTGGGCTGTGCGAGGTTAAAGGAGATGGTCCCTAGGAAGGAAAGGCTCCGCACACTTGAGGGTGAGGCTGGTAAATATTACTTATTTTTATCATTACTCTGGCCCTAAAGACTATGGAATACATAAAACTTCAGTTGCAGTGAATCATGAATTCAGTGCCTCTAAAATGATGGCACTGGAATAAACAATTGAGAGCAATTTTGCTTTCCATGAAGATTCCAGGGTCATCTTAATGGCTCCACTTAAAAAACACTGACCAGGAAATGAAACGTTTTCCTTGGTCAGTTCCCTCATGCTAAAGAGAGGCATTAGAATCATCCTTTTTGGCTTTAGAACTTACTAAATGTTATAGGCATTTTTGGTGATCTTGCCAAGGAGCTGGATCTTACAAAGGTTTATGGATTTGTGGAAGGAGGATATCCTGAACCACGTTTTATTTGGCTTGTAGTTTTTCCTCCTTGTTCCTTCTTTGTGCCGCTAAACACGCAGGTCTTTACCGTTATAACAGTGCATCAGGAAGAGCAACTGTTCGCTCCCTGCGCCTGCCGTCACGAGTCACAGACGAGGCGGCCTCAACAACACGAGCGTGTCATCTCAGCTCTGTAGTGAGAAGTCTGACATGGGTCTCATGGGGCTACAATCCAGGCGTGGGCAGGGCTGGTCCCCCTGGAGGCTCCAGTGGAGGATCCATTTCCTGCCTTTTCCAGCTTTTAGAGGGGCCCGCTTTTCTCCATCTTCAAAACTGACAGTGCTACATTGCTCTTATCCTTCCTCCTCCTCACATTTTCCTCTCTGACCAAAGCCAGGGAAGGTTCTCTGGTTTTGAGGATTCCTGTGATTAGGTTGAGTACACTTGGATAATCCAGGATAATCTCCTTATCTCGAAATCAGCTGGTTAGCGAGTTTATTTCCATCTGCAACCTTAAGTCCCCCCACCACGTAAGGGAACACAGGTTCCAGGGACTAGGGTGTCATCTGGGGGTCATCGCTCTGCTGACCACAGTGAAGTCTGAGAGGTCAGTCTTAAGAACTGTTGGCCATTGTACTCTTTTGCCAAGGTGTGGTGAAAATTTATCATTGTTTGCCTGATTCGGGTTTAAGGAGTGTCTAGTGAGTTCCACTGCTGTGGAACTACTTTACTCCACTGCCAGGTTAAATGGTACTGCCTGGGGTTTGCTGTTCTGGGGACATTTTCCTGATAGGTGAGTGATGGACCTGACGCAGGGAAAGGGACCGCTGGCTGGCGACGTGCCCAAGGGCGGGCCAGCCCCTCAGAGCCTGTCTGTGTGCTTTCACTCCCACACTCGGCCCCTCTCCGCCAGGTTGAGGACACTGGCCTTTGGGGTCGTCTAGTGGCCTTTCACCAGGCCAACACAGAGAGTTCAGAGACCACATGATAAGGGAGGTTGTTGGAGGCTGAGCGGCCCCCACCGTCTTAGCCTCGCCCACCTGGGGTTTCTCAGCGCCTGCACGGCCGAGTCTCAGCTCTGGGCTGCCCTGAGCCCTTCACTTTGCCGCCCAGCTCCCCCAGCATCCTCTGTCCCTGCTGCCCACCTTCTGTCTCCCAGCTCCATGCCTGTTTCCAGGGCAGACTGGCCACCTTTCCCATGACACTCCCTGATTTTCCAGACGTGAGAGGGATGCTCCGTCTTCTGAGCTTACATAGCAGTTGATGTCTCTAGGTCTTAGTGTTTCCTGGGCTCCAGTTTGTTTTTAGTGTGTTTCATTTTGTTGGTTTTTGTTGTTTTATTGCACTTCTTTCCTTGCTGATTGTAGCTTCCTACAGAATCAGTGCACCTGCTTCACTCTGTATCCTGCGTGGGACACGGGGTGCATACAGGGCGTCCCTGATATTTGTGGAGATGCCTGAGCCTTCTGGTCCCGCCCTGGTTCCTAAGATGCTGAGACAAGGGCCAGAGGGCTGCATAGCTCGCCTGGGACTACAGGGCAGGAGCAGGGCCGCCGTCGCACCACCCAGAGGGCACCGGGCGCTGGGAAGGCAGCGAGGCCACTCTTCAGGTGGCCCATCCAGCTTGTCCAGTGCTTCTAGGGACATGGTCAAATGACTTAGTCTGGCCTACAAGAGGACTTTTTGTTTTTAAGTGGATTCTAGGTTACTGTAATGGAAGTTGTCCATTAGAGAACACACATTACAAGCGCACACAAAGGTAAAGAGAACAGGACCATGAAACCTGTGCCCCATCCCCCAGCATCAGTAATTGCCAACAGTCTCCCTTTGTTTTTCCTCTTTCCCCCCACTTTTTGTTGTCTCCACTGCTGAAGTCTTTGAAAGCAAATCTCAAACATTCTGGCTGTTTAAAACGGTTATTATATTTAGTTTTCTTAGTGAGGTCGGCCTATAGAAAAATCAGGGAGTTGTGCTATGAGAGGTTATTTCCCAGAGCTGTTTTGTGTTTCTGCAGAAGTGTGGCCAGCTCGCACTGGACCCCACAGAACCTGCAGAAATTGCGGTCACCTGAGCAGGCACCTCACAGACGTTCTGAGGTCTCCAGCATGGTTGGGTGGCCCCTGGGTCTGAATGTCCTAGCCTGCCCAGGTGGTGGGGGATAAATGAACACAGTGGTGTAAGGTGGGACACGGTGTGAACGATGGCGGCCGGCACGTGGCGGGGCATCCCGTATGCCAGGCTTGGGCTGGCGGTTCCTATTAAATTCTCCTGATGAGTCTGGGAGGTGAGCTGCTTGCCCAGGCTCCGGAGGGACCTGTGCTCTCACCACCACAGAGGACGGATGGCCTCTCTGAGAGTTGCTGTCGTCCCACCCCCACCCCCAAACAAAACAAAACCCGATCTCTCTCCCCTGGAGTGTGAGTGATGGGAGGCAGGCTGGGGGAGGCTCGGTGCTGGGCATCTTGATCTTTGTGGTTCTGACTTAAACGGACACAGCGGGAGGGTGGCGCAGAGGTGGTTGTAGAGAAGGGACCAGGAGCAGGGCACGTATGTCCGATATTGCTAAGCTATAAGTAAAGCTAACAAGTACCAAATAAAGTCTTTTCTGTCCCCTGCCTTGTCAAGTGCCCCGTCACAGTGACCTGGGAGCCAGGTTGAAGTTGGAGCCCTGGACTCCTCACACATCTGCTCCAGAATGTGGCAGTTTGGGGAGTCCGGCCACAGCCCACCCCTTCCTTTCCTGGTCCTGGCTCCACCCTGCACCCAGAGGGCTGCGTGCATCCTACGTGGACACCCCAGGGTGCACACCATCCATCAGCGGCTGCCCCTCTCGAGTCTAGAGGTGCACGTGTTGCTCGGGAAGAGGAGGGCCTCAGAAACCCTCAGGTCCCAGGTGCTGGCAGTGTGGCCCAGAGGGGGGCTGTTAGACTTCGGGGGGCTCATCCTGTTGACTGTGTTGACTCTACCCCGTGGGGAGGGGCCCGGCAGAGGGGCTCAGTTCTAACGGTACTGCTCAGGGGATCAGTCTTCCTAAGAATGGTTTGGGGGTGAGATGACAGCGAGTGAACAGAGCTGGCACAGCCTTGCGTTGATGTCTCTTCATCGTCTTCACCGTCCACCTTGACAACTGTCAATTTTTCTTTTAGGCAGCTGATGGCACAAGAACCACTGGAGAAACTGGGATTTGGAGATCTGATAGATGGGAAATCAGAGACAAAAACTCAAGTTTGACGGGAAGAAGGCCACCGGGCTGTGTCAGGGGTCATCCGGGATGGAGTGTGCTGCACGAACCTGTCACCCTGATGGTTTACTTCTTGGGTAGTGTGAGTTAGAAAGGGGCTTTCAGAATGTCCTCAAAATAGTCGCACAAAATCAAAATAGACATCCCCTCCTTGATGGACATGTCTCATAGCCGGGGCATGGCTCGTCTTCGGAGGCTTCCCAAATTATTTTGAACAATTGTTGTTCTTTTTAGATTCTTATTTTCCCCCAAGGGTGTTAGGTTTCATCTTTCCATCCCTGTGTGTGACAGACTTCCTCAGGAGGCTGGGATAGCAGGAGGTAAGAATGCTGAGTGACGTCTGGGTTGGTGCGTGGGCACCACGGCGCTCCTGTGAAGTGGTGGCTCTCTGTTACGATTCTGCGTATCTTTTCAGTGCTAAAGTACTGAATGCTCACGAATCTCTGTCTGTTGTGTAGACAGATACTGTCAGAAAACCATTCCCTAACAAAATGGTTTCCTTTTTGTATTTGTAAATATATATGCCAGCTTATTTCCTTTTTTTTCTTTTAACAAAAATAGTGTACAAACTAGGAAGTGAGTAATAGAAATCTCCTGGCTTTTGATATATTTGACATCTTGAATTTTTCCTGGTAATGCCTGAACACGGTGTATCTTTCTGATCAAAGGGTCATTTTCTCATTTGTTTCAGGCTCTATTTATAAAACTAGATGTTTAATTTCAATAATTCATTTATTGTAACTCTGGAAAATGGAATGTCAGTACATTTGTAGTTTGACTTACACGGTTGTCTTCCTGTTTCTTTACGCTGAGAACACCCACACCTGCCCATGAGCCAGCCCTTGCTTCCAGGTCCTCCGAGCATGTCCTGGAGGAACACACTGTAGCATCATGTTTCCATTGACCAGTGCTTAGGGCAGTACTTCTCAGCCCAGGCTGTTACCTGAATTGCCTACAGATCATTTAGACCTCACAGGTGTCCAAACCCTCAGCCAGGATTTCTGGGGTGGTTCTGAAATGTGGCGAGTGTTCAGAACCACGAGCAGAGTGTTGAATGCGTGTGGGTCTGGGCCTGTTTGCCCTCGGACCTGCCCCTATCGGCTGCCCTCCCTGACTCCTGGTCAGTTGGTTTTTGTCCCGTTGTGGCCAATGGGAGATAGTGTTGGGGGAATCTAGGGTATGTCCCCGCTGGGACAGCAACCCTGGCGCTGTCTGAGCCTTCTCCAGGCCCTCGAAGGTGGGAACAGCCAGCCCTGATTCCTACTTCTGCCGGGTGACTCGGGCCTGGGCTTTGGGAAATCGCTGCCCTCCGCTCCTTGGCCGTGGCGGCTAGAGGCGTCTCTCGCCTGCGTCCAGTTCTCTGCAGTTAACGTCCCTCTGTTTTCAGTCTTGCTGTGTGGATGTCTCTTGGTCAGACCCTCCCTGAATCAAGTCCTCCCACGGCTGGTTCCATCTCTGTGGTGCTCACTCAGCGCCGTTGACCACGTTAACTGGTCAGCCCCAGCTGCTCCATCTGCAGTGCGTCACGGTTCAATATTTGGTCTCTGTCTTACACTTCTAGTTGTGCTGCAGATATTTTGCATATTATTGCCTAGTTTATGAAAAGTGTTGATTTTTATCACCAACTGAGCCATCAGACTCTTGCATTTTCCAGCAGTGCACAAGGTTGTTTACTGCAGCATTGTTTGTAATTACAAAGCATTGAAATGGCCCAAATGCCTGGACATACGAGTGCTTGAATCAGCTGTGGCTCCTCCACAGCAGGCATTGCAGCCACAGGAAAGAAAAGGGGGGAAGAAGAGTGGGGGAGTCTCTGAAGCCACATGGAGTGACTTCATACCAGGAACATGCTGGGAAGTGAGAAAAGCAGAGTCCAAAAGAGTGTCTACAGTGTGCTAGAGAGAGAGAGAAGAAACCGTACACATAGCTGTGTATTTGTACAAAAGAGAAATTCAGGAAGGACCAACCAGAAACTCCTGCGAGTGGTCATCAGCAGGGCGGGTTGACTTTGGGGGTGACACCTCTGTGAGCGCACCTTTTAGTATAGTTCTGACTCTGGACCGTATTCGTGTTCTGCGTGCTCCAAAAAGGAACCGGGTGTAGGCGGACCCGAAATGGAGCAGCAGCCCAGCTGATTGCAGATGCCGCTCTGACCGCCCTGAAGGGGCGGGGGTGACTCACCTAAGTAGCTTTGGAAAACAGCATTTTGTCCAAAGCTAGGACAAAAAAACAAGATTTTTGTGCTCTAGTTAGTGAATTTGTTTTTCACTTGGACAACAATTCTGAAACTGTGTATTCTAAGATTGAAAAAACTAGAGAGATGTTGTGAGTAATGGGAGCCAGTTGAACTCCTGGTTTTCTGGCTTATAAAGGTAGCTAGATGTGGGAACAGACCTAGGTGTGTGTGTGTGCGTGTGCACGCATGTGTATGCGATCATCTCCATACAAGTGTTTCCTAGGTCTGCACACTGAGGGTCTTAGAAGCAGCGAGACCCAGTACAAGAAGCACACCAAGCGCCCAGATCTTGGATTCTGAGACCTCTCTACACCAAAGGAACCAGGGCTCCTTGAAGGAATGGCTGGCTCCAGGGCCAGGGCCAGGAGAGCCCCAGGTGAGCCTGGACCCTCTTGTGTCAGAAAGTAAGGAGTTGCTGAAAGGTGATGGGGGCTTGTTGGAAGAACACAGGCGGCACGTAAAGGAGCTCCAGTGGCCAAATTGGGGACAGTCTGGGCAAGAAGATTAAGATTGTAATGAGGTATAGCCCTCAGAATAAATTACTCTCCAGGAGTCCCTGCTAATAGAAATGGTTGAGTAAATATCAGTGGAGGAAGGGGCAGCTCCTCTCGATTCTGACTAATGCAGGAGGAATGGCGGGAGGAGAAACCAAGGTTGGCACGCTGCACAGTAATAGTCGTTGCAGACAAGACCGTCAGCGCGTCCTGGAATCAGTGGGTAGAGTGTGATGTGGAATGGATGTTCCTCTGGTCTGGAGGACCTGCACCAAGACACTTAGTGATTTCATAGGGAACAGTGGAGACCTCACAGCGTGGCTCCTTGGACCGAGTGGTCACTACACCTTGGGCCCGGATCCGCTGCCCTGGGAAGGCACAGCATCACCTCTGGGGTTTTCGTGCCAGAAATGCATATCCTCAATCTAATGAGAAAACACCAGACAAACCCAAACTGAGGGACAGTCTACAAAATGAAGACCAGCGCTCTGAAAAGTGTCAAGGTCCTAGAAGACAAACTCTGAATTGCTGTCCCTGACCAGGGGCTCCCAGGAGACGTGAGACTAACCCCACGGGTCCTGCGCCGGGAAGGGCAGTGGGGGGCAGTCGGCGAGACCTGAAGATTTCAGCGAGTTCCCAGGACGTTTTGATTCTTGTTCTGTGATTATGTAAGATGTTATTTGGGAATCTGGGTGTATGAACTCTTGTCCTATTTTTGGAAGTCTGAAATTATTTCAAAACAAAAAGTTAAAAAAATATTTTGTGCTAAACTTTTTGTAGTTGAACTTTCTATATACATGATTGAGTAAATTCTTATTTGGAAATACGTTCAGTGAATTTCAAATAGGGATATCACAGACATACATGGTTTCAACAAGTTAAGAGAGGAAGCAGAGAGGCTGACTTCTTTTATGAAGGAGCCTGTGGTTTTCTAGATCTGAGGGCTGAAATTGCGATGCTTAGGGATGCAGACGTCCTGTCTGTCCTGCCAGGCTCCCGTGAGGTGTTTTTGGTAGTCCATCATTTGTCATGTAAAGAGGGCATTTTATCTCATATGCACTTGTCACGATGAACAACATTATGAAAAGGCACCCAAAGACAACTTCCAGAATGTTTCCCAGGTACTCTCGTTAGGTAGGAGATGGTTGGAGAAATCAGGCAGCCGGGGTTGGGCCTGGGCCCACCGCTGCCTTCCCAGGAAGATGAGCCCCTCCTTGGTCTGGCCCCTGGAAGGGGGCACCAGACGTGCCCGTGGCCTCATCCACACAAGTCATGTCATGGGGAGCCTGGGGCCCAGGGCTGTGTCCTCTGTCCCCCCGCCCCCCGTACATTCCCTCCACTCTCCTGGCCAAGGCCCTCCCCGCCCTCACATGCAAGTCAGATGAGTTTCCTGCTGCTGCTCTAACAAGTTACCACAAGCTCAGTGGCTTAAACAACACAAATTTGTGTTCCTGTTCTGAGGTCAAAGTGCAAAATGGGCCCACAGGGCTTTGCTTCCTCTGCAGGCTCTGGAAAGAGTCATTTCCCTGCCTTTTCCAGCTTCTAGAGGCACCTGCCTTCTGTGGCCTGTGTCCCTGTCCTCCATCCTCAGAGCTGGCAGCATGGCATCTGCTCCCTGACCCTGCTACCATCCTCACATCACCTTCTCTGACTCTGGCCCCCACCTCCCTTCTAGGGATCCCCTCGATGACATTGCCCACCCGATAATCCAGGATCGTCTCCCATCTCAAGATCCCTAATTCAACCACCGCTGCAAAGTCAGATGCACAGGTTCCGGGGACGGGGACATGGATATCTCTGCCATTAGTTTGCCCACCACACCTCCCCGGCCCGTGAAGAACCCCAGCAGTGATTTGGCATGGGAACGTGGGCGACAGCATCAGGTCCTTGAGCAGCTGGTTGGTGAGGAGCTCAGCGCGTGTCCGTGCCCGGGGAAGGCTGGGCCCTGCCCCAGAGGACACATGCTCCCGGGCAGCTGTGGGCCTTTGTCTTCATTATCCACAGCAACCCAATCCTGGTCGAATTTTCTCAGAGCTGAGTTTAAATCCCGTGCTTTTCTAAAATCTGTGGCCCTGGCTCTGCTGCTATGTCTTGCTGGCAAATAACAGAGTGGGTGTGTCCTAAATAATAAACAGAGTCGGAGGGTCAAAACCAGCAGTTGCCTGTGTGACCTGGTCCCCACTCCCGTGAAGTGTTGGTCTGTCTAGACATCTAGTTTTATATGGATAGGGGATGCTTGGAATCCTGTACAGCAAGTGTTCATGATGCCTGGCCAAGTGACATATTGTTGGCGATATGTGGCTTTCTTGTATTTTTCTTTATGACAAGCATGTATCATTTTTATAGAAACAATAAAATCATTAGTTTAAAAAAGCTTATTGTGTTTAGTGTAATTTTATATCATCTATAAA